TCAAATTTTCAGACTAACAAGACAAATAATCTTACACATTCTGAAAACAAGATTATTATTCTTACACAATCAGTTCTTGTTTAGTAAATTAGTCTCAAAGCAAGATCAAAAAGACTTTTTGGCTGATATAAGATTTAAAAACTTGGTTAGGTGGACAGTTTTGCAGTGTGTATAAAGTAAATACATTCAGTAAGGATAGGACATTGAGTCATCTAATTTATGTTTTATAAAATAATACTGTATTTATGTAGATATGATTGAGATTAAGATGGAGGTAAAGATGATGTCATTGTGAGATACTGTTCAGCTGGGCTACAGAGGATAATAAAAATCACCAAAATCCTACTAGTGTCTACATGAACTTCATCTACACTCGATGTATTGCTGCTAAAAGTCCCAACTCACCACTGCCAGTTGAGCCACATATTCTGATGGGATTTTTGTAAAAAAAATAAAAAGGTTACTAAATTATAAAGTTATAGAATTTCAGTGGTGAAAAATGTACTAAACTGAGCCCATTAAAAATCCTTTTACAATAGAAATGTTTAAATCAGAGAGAAAAAGTCTCTAACAGCTGAATCTGCTCTCCAGAGCAGGTAGCGCTGACACACACGGGGAAATGCCAGGGGCCTCGGCGTTGACCCGGTCGGTGTACATCCTGCGAGAGAGGCTCAGATGATTAGAGAACATGAACACGACCCCAGCTTTCCCCTCGGTGGCTGRGCATGCAGCAGCTGCGTGAGCAGCCAGTCGGAGATGTTTAGGGATGATCCCTCGGAGCCTCGCCACAGACAAGCTTCCTCCGAGTCAATAAAAACCCAGGGTGACAGCTTCACTCATCTGCACCGCTCTGCGTCCTGGCTGACAGATTAAAGCCAAACAACACCGACACTTGGTGAAAAGCCAGATTAACTTTGCCTCCTTGAAGCCTCTCCAGCAGCAACAGAGACTGAAATCCCCACAACAGTCCTGTGGTCTTGCTAATTGGCGAGCTGCATGGACCAGGCTTTGATTAATCTTAAATCTTAATGAGTTCACTCAGAGCTGCTGTGATATTCCAGCCGAGGAGGTAAAACACACTTGCAATTCCCCTCGTTTCATCCCGCAGCTGTATCAGAGGAGACCTGGAACTTCGGCCTGGTGAACCCGCCAAGAAATCAAAGAGAATGCCAGAGATCTGTTTAATAATTTATTTGCATATGATTATCGTAAAAATACTGAAAGAGAAATGCTTATTTTTGTTCTAGTTTTCGCACATTTTTTACAATCTAATACACCTTTAAATGCACAGAAAAAGAAGTCCGCCCCAACAGACACGTGTTCTTCTTTCACATACTGTATAGTTTCAGATATGGATGACCGCTGGACTGCAGATTCCTCGTTTGTTTGATCCGCAACAGTAAACAAACAAGCGTATAAATGTGGGTCATGGAGAGGCCGAAGCCATGTTGGATAGCTGGAAATGCTCAGTGGAYTGGTTTAATATAAATACTGTGTTATTTACAGGCAATTGTTCAAGTTAAGAACTGGTCTGAAGAAAACACTGATCAGGAGGAATGAAACAAAGAGCGAGTAGTTCTGCTTCTGTTTTTCCRGGACACTTTTAGCTTCATGCAACCATCTGGACAGATAAAAGTGTTTTTCTTTGTAAAAGTTATTAATAGTTAATATCTAAAACAGCTCTAATAGCTTTTTGAATGAACGATTTTAAGACTGACAGGACTGATGAGCTAATAATACAAACCATTAGTCTTGTATTAATCTTTTACTTGGACTCCTGTGGTCATTTACAAGCGTAAACAGTACTAACAGCAGCAAGCTGTAGCTCGTCCAAGGCATCCAAGGTCACATCTGGCAAAATCTTCTTCATGTTTCTGCCAAAATAACCGTGTAAGGCAAATGTGACAGCACTGAAAAGGTGTTCATATTGTTCATAAGAACCACAGTAACCTGTAAGGGAGAAACGTAAAGAACCACAGGGATGGTTTGGATCTTGGAGTTGGTTTAACTTGCTGTTAGCTTATCAGTTCTGTCAGAGCTTAAAGGGATCCMTGATTAGTTGTAACATTAGACTTTATTTAATAAATATAGATTTTAACTATAAAATAAAGACTGTAAAAATACTGTAGGATGTTCAGTTTTTATCATTTTTAAACTAAATTTTTAAAAATATATTACACGGACGGGGCCATTTTATTTACACACAAAGCATTCTGGGTAAATGATGACGTGGATAGGTCCTCAGTGCGAGGCTGCTAGCGAGCTATATCCACCCTGAAGGTTAATCTTGGACAATATCTGATGATCGACTCTTTTAAATGAAACCAGAGAGCGTTGACAGAGAGGAGAAGGTAGAAATGACTCAGCCTGTAGGCCTAACTGAAAATATAGATGGAGGACAACAGAGCTGCTTCATGGAAGAAGAACCTCAGCTTAGCCTGTTAGCTTTACACATTTTCTCAGTGCTACACATTCTCCTCTCGTCACTGAGGTCCTCCATCCACATGACCAGTTCCAGGCTGAGTCATTTCTACCTTCTCCTCTCTGTCAACGCTCTCTGGTTTCATTTAAAAGAGTCGATCATCAGATATTGTCCAAGATTAACCTTCAGGGTGGATATAGCTCGCTAGCAGCCTCGCAACGTTGACATATCCAGGTCATCATTTACCCAGAATGCTTTGCGTGTAATTAAAT